TTGCTTTGCCATTTCTGAGTGGAAAAGAGTTGAAGGCTAGGGTCAGATTAATAGGTGGGTCACATTTGTGCACTTTGATTTTCTTTATTTGTTTCCGTACTATATAACATTTAGGAGTTTGTTCCCCATGGCTTTGAACTGGGGGAGAGTTCATCCCAACACAGAGTTGCCTGGTATCCAACTGCATTATATAAGTCCACACTTGCCATAGGATGCAGTTCAAACTGGTAGTGTAGATCCAACTTCAGTTTGCAACAATTGAAGTAAGCTTAACACAAAGGAGGAAAGTGAGTAGAGGAGAGAAAAAGCTTGACATTTTAAAAGCAGCTTTTATATTGTATAGTTTTTAGCTCTGTTCATCACTTCAATGAGCCTCTATTAAAAGGAAGAGCGGTATACGAATAAATATAATAACAATATTTAAAAGTGGGACAGTCCCTTCTACACTGAAAATCTGGATTATCTGCTTTGAACTGACTTATTCGGCTGTTTAGACTCATATAATCCAGTTCAAAGCAGAAAATGTGGATTATCTGCTTTGATAACTTGAATTATATCACAGTATAGAAGGAGCCTAAGACCGTTGGAAGATATTATTATTTATTATTATTTATTATTTGCACTTGTTAACCGCCACTCTCAGCCCGAAGGCGACTCGAAGGCGAAGGCGAAGATATGTACATCCTACCAAATAACACATACTGTATAACCGGCATTCCTGCCCAGTTTGTTGTCAAGGTGTTGTTGCAAAGCACCTTCAAGGCTTCTGCTCTCCCTTTTGTACATCTTGATAGTCAAACCAGGCCTGGATTGTACATATTTTGCAACAGGGACTATCCTACATAAAGCAAGCCACATGCCCAACCTACCTCAGCTTCTATATTGGCTATTTACCTTTGTAAAATTAAGTTTATGTTGGGCACTGAAGACTGTGTTTTTCCATGGCTGGACAAGCTAGGCAAGCAGGGGTTTCTGCCCTGACTGTTTTGAAACTAATAATAATAATAATAATAATAATAATAATAATAATAATAACACTTTATTTGTACTCCGCTACCATCTCCCCAAGGGATTTGGTGCGGCCGAGCCCAAACACAACAATACAAGCAATTAAAAACACATAGACAATAAGAAACAACATTATCAATAAAACAACACATAGTTAAAAACAGTGGGAAGGCCAAATGTTAAGTTAAAATTGGAAATAATGCTGGGACATGAACAGAAGGTGATACTGGTGTTTGTGGAAAGGCATACGAGCAGACCTAAAGAAATGTAAAGTGCTTTGGAGGACAAAGTGCTATGGGGTCATTATTCCGGGAAGGCACACTGGAACAACCACGTCTTCAAGTTCCTCCTGAAGACTGCCAAAGTTGGCGCCTGTCTGATGTCTTTAGGGAGTGAGTTCCAGAGTTGAGGGGCCACCACCAAAAAGGCCCTTTCTCTCATCCCCACCAATTGTGTCTGCAATGCTGGTGGGATTGAGAGCAGGGCCTCTCCGGATGATCGAAGGGATCGTGTGGGTTCGTATACAGAGATGCGATCACGCAGGTAGGCGGGTCCCAAACCGTTCAGGGCTTTATAGGTAAGAACCTGCACCTTGAATTGGGTCCGGTGGATGAATGGCAGCCAGTGGAGCTCCTTGAACAGGAGGGTTGACCGCTCCCTGTAAGGAGCCCCAGTTAAAAACCTGGCTGCCGCCCGTTGGATCATCTGAAATTTCCGGGCTGTTTTCAAGGTCAGCCCCACGTAGAGTGCATTGCAGTAATCCAGTATAGAGGTGACTAAGGCATGGACCACCTTGGCCAGAACTCTTTTTTCCCCATGTCAGGAGTAATTTGAGAAACTGCAAGACGCTTCTGGTATGAGAGAATTGGCCATCTGTAAGGACGTTGTCCAGGGAATACCCACATGTTTTTGATGTTTTACCATCCTTTTAGGGAGGCTTCTCTCATGTCCCCACATGGGGAGCTGGAGCTGACAGAGGAGGCTCATCCGTGCTCTCCCCAGATTTGAACCTGTGACCTGTCGGTCTACAGTACTGCCAGCATAGGGGTTTAACCCACTGTGCCACCGGGTGCTCCACATTTTTTGAAACTGTTTGCTGGTGTTAGCTGGATTTTAAAGAGGAATTTGGACTCCTTATAATGGATTTTTAAAAAGTTATTTCTTGTTTTCAAAGTGTTTTTATCAATTGTGCATTGCTGCAGGGGTACTAGTGAGTAGAGAGGTAAGGAATCAATGTCTCAAATAAAGCAAACAAATAAATCAATAAAACATATTTTGGACATGCTTTGCTTACTTGCTTCAACAAAAGAAGGAGGAGAGGGGATGACTGCATGCAGAAGCTCAGTCTAGTGCATATGATGTTTTATTATGCCAGAACTATGACCCTTCATGACATGCATTGTACACACCATGACTGATTTGCATATTTCTTTAAAGTTATTTATACTACACCCTTCAAAGAAATTTACACTATACAGCTTACAATAAATGCAGGGCCACAGAGTGGAAGTGAATCAGATCAATAATATTTGTTCTGTACTTGGTGATGCAGCTGTTTCAATCCTTGACCTACTGCATAAAAGAGCATAAAACTTCTGGTCCTCGAAGAGACGGTAGTGAAGATAGAGCCAGGAATGCACTAATAAGAGTGAAGAGAAAGGAGGGCAGAAGACAGTTCCATCTTGTCTCCTGCCTATATCATCAGTTGGGAGGCCTCCCCTCTCTGGTACCAACTGCTGCTCTGGCCAAAGTGAGGAGAGAGGAGGGCAGAAGATAGTTCCATCTTGTCTCCTGTGCTTTTGTTGTTGTTCATCCGTTCAGTCATTTCCGACTCTTCGTGACCTCATGGACCAGCCCAAGCCAGAGCTCCCTGTCGGCCGTCACCACACCCAACTCCTTCAAGGTCAATCCAGTCACTTCAAGGATGCCATCCATCCATTTTGCCCTTGGTCAGCCCCTCTTCCTTTTTCCTGTGCTTTACTAATATATATATTTATAATATTACAGTATAATGTAATACAATATAATACTACTAATAATACAATATTATAATTATATATTTTATATTACATGTAATATTACTAATAATATAACAATATAATGATATAGTACAATATAGTAATATATAATACTGATATATATATTAGGGCTGGGTAACCATGGAAAAATTTGTTTCTAAAGTCGATTCCTTTTTAGGGGGTTTTTGCGTTTCATTTTTTAAAAGAATTCCGAAATTTTTCTTTAAAAAAGTTTGAAATATACGAAATTTCGTAAATTACGAAACAATTACGAAACAATTACGAATCGATTCGTTAATGGCGGACGCGATTGTACAATACGCTAAAAAAACCTCCAAATGGGACAGGGGGAACTTCTGAAGCTTCCCTCTCCCTCTGTTGTTGACTGTTGGTGTGATAATTTATTTTTTTTATCACTGATAAAACAAACAACAACTATAAAACTTGCACCAGACATACAGAAATAATAACGAACCAATTTCGAAACGATTTCGAAACGATTTCGAACCAATTACGAAACAATTACGAAATAAATTGAAAAATTCGTTTCGATTTTTAGTTGCTCCTGCATGGCTCAATATCGGATCGTAAGCTAATTTAAATACGAATCAATAACGAATTACGAAATTAACGAACAAAACCGCCCAGCCCTAATATATATATATATCTTGTAAGCTGCTCTGAGTCCCCTTCCAGGTGAGAAGAGCGGCATATAAATGTTGTCAATAATAAATTTAAAAAGAGATAAATGTAGACAATAGAATGAGAACAATGCCATCTAAAACAGCAGTAGGACAGTTGGATTAGGAAGAAACAAATTGGAACAATGGTCCATTAGGAAGGTTCAAATGTGATGCCCTTAACCCGTTTTGATATTTGCATAACTGTTTTGAGAGAGCCTTGGAGCGCAAGAAGATCAAACCAGTCCATACTCCAGGAAATAAAGCCCAACTGCTCACTGGAGGGAAGGATATTAGAGGCAAAGATGAAGTACTTTGGCCACATCATGAGAAGACAGGAAAGCTTGGAGAAGACAATGATGCTGGGGGAAAGGAAGGAAAACGGAAGAGGGGCAGGCCAAGGGCAAGATGGATGGATTGTATCCTTGACATGACTGGCTTGACTTTGAAGGAACTGGAAGTGGCCACGGCCGACAGGGAGCTTTGGTGTGGGCTGGTCCAGGATGTCACGAAGAGTCTAAAATGACAGAATGAATAAACAACAACATAGGTAAAGATAAAGGTTTTCCCCTGACATTAAGTCCAGTCATGTCCAACTCTGGGGGTTGGTGCTCATCTCAATTTCTAAGCCGAAGAGTCGCTGTTGTCCATAGACACCTCCAAGATCATGTAGCCAACATGACTGCATGGAGTGCCGTTACCTTTCCGCCGGGGCGGTACCTATTGATCTACTCACATTTGCATGTTTTTGAACTGCTAGCTTGGCAGAAGATGGGGCTGACAGCAGAAGCTCACGCCGCTCCCCGGATTTGAACCTGTGACCTATCGGTCAACAAGTTCAGCAGCTCAGCGGTTTAACCCACTGCACCACCGGGGGCTCTAAACAACAACATAAAACATGACTGTAGCTTACTCTGTGGCCTGGATCCTTTTCAGTTGAAATATTAGCTAGAATTGTGCTGAACACTGATGTTGTTGTTATGTGCCTCCAAGCTGTTTCTGACTTATGGCAAGATTTGTTCAGAGGGTGGGTTGCCTTTACTTTCCTCTGAGACGGAGGGAGTATGATTTGTCCAAGGTAAAAAGAGTTTCACAAGCTGTTTTGCTTCTTCAGTCAGTTGTTGTGCAAGTGTTCAGCTCTCTCTCTCACTTTTGACTTGGCGGAGTGCAACTGAGTGACAGTTGTACAACCATAGAGCTCAGGGCCAGTGGAACAGTTGCATAACTGAGTTATAGTGTAACTGAGTTATAGTGTAACTGATATATATTTACACTATACTAAAAACATACATGATTTTGACATTAATTACAGTACAACCCCTGCATCTGTGGGGGATATGTTCCAAGGTTCCACCATGGATAGTTAAACTGTGGATAACAGAGAACCCTTTATTGGAGGATTTAGAGGAGCCCACAAATACTTCTAAGGGAAATTGTTTTTGGAGTGTGGGTAAGTGAAACTGTCAATATTGTACTGTATTCCACAATGCAGCGTGGGTAAGTGAAACTGTCAATATTGTACTGTATTCCACAATGCACGGTAAGTAAGGCATAATTTGTTATAGAATTCTGGGGTGAGCCTACAAAATCAGAGGTTAGAGAACAGTAATACACTGGTGCTTGAAATCTCGGAATTTGTAATTGGAAGAGAAGAGACTTTCAGTCTTATCTCATGGAACAATTGAAGCATCTATGGAGCCCTATGCTGCCCATCAAATAACACAGGGTGACTTCCAGTAGGGCAGTGATTCTCAACCTTTCTAATACTGTGACCCCTTAATACAGTTCCTCATGTTGTGGTGACCCCCAACCATAATATTATTTTTGTTGCTACTTCACAACTACAATTTTGCTACTGTTATTAATCTATATATATAAATTTGTTAGGGGCATCCAACGAGGAAACAAAACTCAAAAACCCCCCAACGAAACTTAACCAAAATTCCCATGCCCATAACACAACCCACAAGGTACAAACATATCTACTCAAAATGAAAAACAACACAACAACACACTCACAAAACGGCAAAACAACAAAACTCAAAAATCCCCCAACGAAACTTAACCAAAATCCATGCCCATAACACAACCCACAAGGTACAAACATATCAACTCAAAATGAAAAACAACACAACAACACACTCACAAAACGGCAAAACAACAAAACTCAAAAATCCCCCAACAAAACTTAACTAAAATCCCCGTGCCCATAACACAACCCACAAGGTACAAACATATCTACTCAAAATGAAAAACAACACAACAACACACTCACAAAACGGCAAAACAACAAAACTCAAAAACCCCCAACGAAACTTAACCAAAATTCCCATGCCCATAACACAACCCACAAGGTACAAACATACCTACTCAAAATGAAAAACAACACAACAACACACTCACAAAACGGCAAAACAACAAAACTCAAAAATCCCCCAACGAAACTTAACTAAAATCCCCGTGCCCATAACATAACCCACAAGGTACAAACATACCTACTCAAAATGAAAAACAACACAGCAACACACTCACAAAACGGCAAAACAACAAAACTCAAAAATCCCCCAACGAAACTTAACCAAAATCCCCGTACCCATAACACAACCCACAAGGTACAAACATACCTACTCAAAATGAAAAACAACACAACAACACACTCACAAAACGGCAAAACAACAAAACTCAAAAATCCCCCAACGAAACTTAACTAAAATCCCCGTGCCCATAACACAACCCACAAGGTACAAACATATCTACTCAAAATGAAAAAACAACACAACAACACACTCACAAAACGGCAAAACAACAAAACTCAAAAATCCCCCAACGAAACTTAACCAAAATCCCCGTGCCCATAACACAACCCACAAGGTACAAACATACTACTCAAAATGAAAAACAACACAACAACACACTCAAAACGGCAAAAAAACAAAACTCACAAAAACCCCAACGAAACTTAACCAAAATTCCCATGCCCATAACACAACCCACAAGGTACAAACATATCTACTCAAAATGAAAAACAACACAACAACACACTCACAAAACGGAAAAACAACAAAACTCAAAAAAACCCAACGAAACTTAACCAAAATTCCCATGCCCATAACACAACCCACAAGGTACAAACATATCTACTCAAAATGAAAAACAACACAACAACACACTCACAAAACGGCAAAACAACTGAGCATGCGCATTGGCGCCCAGTCGCAAGTTCCCTGGCGTGCGCACATGGCCTTCCGGCCAACGTTCCCTCTGCGGAAACCATGCCCACTCCAAGCCCCGCCGCGCCGCTTCCCGCACACACACACACCCTGCCGCACACACACACGCAACCCCACGCTCCATCACTCCCCCGCCGCCGCACACACACACGCAACCCCACGCTCCATCACTCCCCCCACCGCCGCACACACACGCAACCCCACTCCCCCCGCCGCCGCACACACACACGCAACCCCACTCCCCCCGCCGCCGCACACACACACGCAACCCCAGGCTCCATCACTCCCCTGCCCCAATCTTACCTCCTTTTACTTCAGGCCACCTCCAACCCCCACCGCCCCTTCCCGCCCTGTAAAAATCTAGGAAAGACAGGAAGGAAGGAAAGAAGGAAGAAAGAGAAAGGGAGGTAAAGAAAAAGGGGGAAGGAAGGAAAGTTAGAGGAAGAAGAAAAGGAAAGAAAAGGAAAGATGGAAGGAAAGAAAAGAGAGACAGCAGAAGGGAAAGAAAAAGGGGGAAGGAAGGAAAGAGATAGAGAAAGAAGAGGAGAAGGAAAGATGGGAAGGAAGGAAGGAAGGAAGGAAGAAGGAAGGAAGGAAGGAAGGAAGGAAGGAAGGAGGGAGGGAGGGAGGGAGGGAGGGAGGGAGGGAGGGAGGAGGGAAAGAAGGAGAGAAAGAGGGAAGATTGGCCACAGCAACACGTGGCGGGTAAAGGTTGTTATTTCTATTATTATTATTATGCTATTGTTCCTATGAGACCCTTTTAGGGGGAATGGGAGAGGTGTCAGGTCCCAGAGGCAATGCATTGCATTATTGTTATTGTTATGATGGTGGTGAAATAAAAGGAAATAAAAAGTGAAAGAAGGAAGCAAACAGGGAGGGAAGAAAGGCAAAGGAAGAAAGGGGGAGGGAATGAAGGAAAGAGAGAAGGATGAAACCAAGTAGTGAAAGAAGGAAAGAAAGAAAGAGGTAGAGAAGGAAGAAAGGAGAGAAAGGGGGAGGAAAGGGGAAGGAATAGGTAGGGACCTCTCTTTCATAATAGTCCAGATATCTACCTCAACTTTGATAAGTTTTACTATAGGCCACAGCAACGCGTGGCAGGGCACAGCTAGTGTATCTATATATATAAATTTCCTCCTGGCGTCGTATGAGGAAACAAAACTCTAAAACCCCCCAACGAAACTCCACCAAACTTCCCATGCCCCAAGGGCAACCAACAAGGTACAAACTAATCCAGTCAGAAATCAAAAACACACAACAACAACCACAATAAACGGCAAAGCAACTGAGCATGCGCACTGGCGCAAACTCCCTGGCGCGCGCACACACATGGCCCCTCCCCCCCCCCGGCGCGGCACACACACGCGCGCGCGTGCGCCCCTTCCCCCCCGGCGCGGCACACACACACACGCGCGTGCCCCCTCTCCCCCGCGCGGCACACACACGCGCGCGCACCCCCCCCCCCCCCGGCGCGGCACACACGCGCGCGCACGCGCCCCCTCCCCCCTCCGGCGCGGCACACACACACATGCACACACACGCGCGCACGCGCCCCCTCTCCCCCCTCCGGCGCGGCACACACACACATGCACACACACGCGCGCACGCGCCCCCTCACCCCCTCGGCGCGGCACACATGCACACATGCGCGCATGCCCCCTCACACCCCCCGGCACACGCGCGCGCGCGCGCCCCCTCTCCCCCCTCCGGTGCGGCACACGCCACGCGCGCCCGCGCGCCCCCTCACTCCCCCCGGGCCGCACACACGCGCGCGTGTGCGCCCCCCCTCCCCCCCGCGCGCGCTCTCCCACGCGCCCCCCCCCCTCCCTCCTCCCTCTTACCCTCCTCACGTTACCTCCAAGTCACGCAGGAAAGATGGAAAGAGAGAAGGAAGAAAAGAGAGACTGCAGAAGAGAAAAAGGAAGAAGGAAGGAATGAGGGAGCGAAGGAAGGGGATAAAATGTAGAGAAAGAGGGAGGGAAAGAAAGGAGGAAAGAGAGAAGGAAGAAAAGAGACACAGCAGAAGAGAAAAAAAAAGGGGGAAGGAAGGAAAGCGATACAGAAGGAAGGAAGGAGAGAAGGAAAGACGGGAAGGAAGGAAGGAAACAGGGAGTGAAGGAAGGAGGGAAAGAAGGGGAGATAGGGGGAAGGTTGGCCACAGCAACGCGTGGCGGGTACAGCTAGTTATAATATAAATATCTGATATGCAGGATGTATTTTCATTCACTGGACCAAATTTGGCACAAATACGTAATATGCCCCAATTTGAATACTGGTGGGGTTGGCAGGGGATTGATGTTGTCATTTGGGAGTTGTAGTTGCTGGGATTTATAGTTTACCCACAATCAAAGAGCATTATGAACACCAACAATGGAACTGAACCAATCTTGCCACACAGAACTCCCGTGACCAACAGAAAATACTGGAAGGGTTTGGTGGGCATTGACCTTGAGTTTTGGAGTTGTAGTTCACCTAGATCCAGAGAGCACTGTGGACTCAAACAATGATGGATCTGGACCAAACTTGCCATGAATACTCAACATGCCCAATGTGAATGAACACTGGTGGAGTTTGGGGAAAATAGACCTTGCATTTGAGAGTTTTAGTTGCTGGGATTTATAGTTCACCTACAATAAAAGACCATTCTGATCCCTACCAATGATAGAACTGGGCCAAACTTCCCACATGGAACCCCTATGACCAACAGAAAATACATTTTTGGATGGTCTTTGGCGACCCCTCTGAAACCCCCTTGTGACCCCCCCAGGGGTCCCAACCCCCAGGTTGAGAACCACTGCAGTAGGGCTTTGTGAGTGAATTTGAGTGGCACCATGGTGGGATGCCAAAACAGAAGCCATCCTATGTTTCTTAAGAAACAATAGAGCTTTGATGGAGGGAGAGACACTTCCCCATGTGGGATGGGGAAACAGCTGCTGGCTGGGACGCTGGGATTGCTCCGATGCCATATCTGCTGCCACCATGATTCGCTACAGAGGCTGGTGAATCAAGGCGCTGGACCTTAGCCATGTGATGAGGTCCCTACACCATTGTTTCAAAGTAGTTGCTCATAATATAGCCTCTGTTAAGATAGAGGACCTTGTCACATGGAGGTCCTTAACCGGGGGACAGCAGGGGCATCTGTGGGATAGTGTAGCAAATCCATGGGGCAGTGGTGTAAATTGCTCTGGAATCCATTTGTCTGTGGCTTGCTCCCATGTTGTCC